AGAGAGAGCACAGGGGGAGGAGCAGAAAGAGAAGGGTAAGCAGACTCTGCACTGAACCTGATGTGGGGCTGGATCTTAGGATCCTAAGATCATGACCCAAGCTGAAACCTAGAGTCAGGTGCTCAACTGACTGAGCCACCTAGTGGCTCTCCTGTGTGAAATTTAAGAAACAACACAAATAAGCAAAGGGGAAAACAGAAGCAAGCCAAGAAACAGACTATAGAGAACAAACAGGGATACTGGAGGGGAGGGGAATGGGTTAAATGGGTGTAGGAGATTAAGGAGAGCAGTTGTGATGAGTACTGGTTGTTTGTATACAATTGTTGAATCACTATATTATACACCTGAAATTAATATCACACTGGATATGTTAGTATGTTAACTAACTGGAATTTAAATAAACACTTAAAAAATAAAAATGTAATTACCAGAATAATCCAGTAATTATACTACTGGTATTTACTCAAAGAAAATGAAAACTTTAATTTAAAAAGATATATTCACATTGTGTTGATTGCAGTTTATTTACCATAGCCAGCTCATGGGAGCAGTCCAAGTGTCCATTGATAGATAAATGGATAAAGAAGATGTAAGATATATATAGAGAGAGATATACATAGATATAGAGATATATATCTTCTAGATGTGATATATCTCATCTTTATATATATGATGGTATATTACTTAGACATGAAAAAGAATGAAATCTGGGATCCCTGGGTGGCACAGCGGTTTAGCGCCTGCATTTGGCCCAGGGCGCGATCCTGGAGACCCGGGATCGAATCCCATGTCGGGCTCCCGGTGCATGGAGCCTGCTTCTCCCTCTACCTGTGTCTCTGCCTCTCTCTCTCTGTGTGTGTGACTATCATAAATAAATAAAAATTTAAAAAAAAAGAATGAAATCTTGCCATTTGCAATGACATGGAAAAAGCTAGAGAATATAATGCTAGGTGAAATAAGTCAGAGAAAGACAAATACCATATGATCTCACTCATATGTGGAATTTAAAAAGCAAAACAAATGAACAACAACAAAAAAGACCAAACTAAAAGAGACTTAACTATAGGCAACAAACTGGTGGTTGCCAGAGGGGAGGTGACTGGGGAGAAGGGTGAAATAGACAACAGAGATTAAGAGTACACTTACCATAATGAGCACTGCATAATGTATAGAATCCTGAATCACTATATTGTATACCTGAAACTAATATAACACTGTATATTAATTGTACTGTAATTTAAAAATAAATAATATGGGCAGCCCGGGTGGGTCAGCGGTTTAGCACCACCTTCAACCCAGGGCCTGATCCTGGAGACTGGGGATCAAGTCCCACGTCAGGCTCCCTGCATGGAGCCTGCTTCTCCCTCTGCCTGTGTCTCTGCCTCTCTCTCTCTCTCTCTCTCTCTCTCTCTGTGTGTGTGTGTGTGTGTGTGTCTCATGAATAAATAAATAAAATCTTTAAAAAAAATTTTAAAAGAGGGTGCCTGGGTGGCTCAGTGGTTGAGCGTCTGCCTTCAGCTCAGGCCATGATCCTAGGGTCTGGGATCAAGTCCCGCATCAGGCTCCTTGCAGGGAGCCTGCTTCTCTCTCTGCCTATGTCTCTGCTTCTCTCTCTTGGTCTCTCATGAATAAAATCTTAAATAATAATAGTAATAATTTTAAAAAAGAAACTGCTAAGGCTTTCCAAAGTGTTTGTGTCATTTTGTATTCCCACTGGTAATTGATGAGACTTTTGCTTTGCATCTTCTCCAATATTATGTGTTGTCAGTTATTTTTGTGTGTATTTTGAGGTATCTCAGTTTGTTTTATTTGTACTTCACTGATGACTTATGATGTTGAGAAGTTTTTCCTGTGCTTTTTGTTAATATTTTACTTTTTTAAGAGCAGTTTTAGGTTCATGGCAAAATTGAGGAAAGGTGTATTGATTTTCCATATACCCACAACCTGCACGCGTGTGTAGCTTTCCTTATACCACTCCCTCACCAGGGTATGATGTTTGTTAAAATTAGTAAATCTACACCTACACATCATTATTATCCAAAGTCCATGGTTTACATTGGGGTTCACTTTTGTTGTTATACATTCTGTGGGGTTGGACAAATATATAACTACATGTATCCATCATTATAGTGTCTATACAGAGTAGCTTCACTGCCCTAAAAATCCTCCAGGCTCCATATATTCATTCCTTTTCCCTCTACCCCCAAGCCCTGGGAACCACTGATCTTTTTATACTATATATGTATGATGTTACTTTTTCTTGAGTGTCATATAGTTGGAATCATATAGTATGTAGCCTTTCCAGATTGGCCTCTTTCACTTAGCATTATGCATGTAAGGTTTTTCCATGTCTTTCCATAGCTTTATACCTCATTTCTTTTTAGCACTGAATAATATTCTGTTTTCTGGATATATTATAATATAATTATCCATTTATCTACTAAAAGATATCCTGGTTGCTTATAAGTTTTGGAAATTCTAAGTAAAGCTGCTGTAAGCATCCCTGTGCAGGTTTTTGTATGGACATAAGTTTTCAACTCCTTTATATAAATACCAAGGACTGTAATTGCTGGACTGTATGGTAAGAGTATGTTTAGTTTTGTAGAAAACTGCAACTCTCTTCCATTCCAAAGTGGCTACATGTTTTGCATTCCCACCAGCAATGAATGAGAGTTTCTGTTGCTCTATATACTGGCCACATTTGGTGTCATTAGTGTTAATGGATTTTGGCCATTCTGATAGATGTGTAGTGGTACCTCGTTTCTTAAATTTACATTTACTGAATAATATATGATATGGAGCATATTTTTCATATGCTTGTGTGGCATCTTTATGCCTTCTATGGTGAGCTGTATGTTAAGGACTTTGGTCCATTTTAAAATCAGTTTTCTGTGCTTTTTGTCAATATGTACTTCTTCCCCTCTCCAGATTTAATATATATAATTGACTTAAAACATTGAATAAGTTTAAGATGTACGGTGTGACAATTTACACACAATAAATTTAGCTAACACAACTAAAACAATAAATTTAGTTAACACATACATCATCTCAATTTTTTTTTATTTATCCATTCATGAGAGACAGAGAGAGAGAGAGAGAGAGAGAGAGAACGAGAGGCAGAGACACAGGCAGAGGGAGAAGCAAGCTCCATGCAGGGAACCCGACGTGGGACTCAATCCCCAGTCTCCAGGATCATGCCCTGGGCTGAAGGCGGCACTTAACCGCTGAGCCACCCAGGCTACCCTCATGATGGTATTTTTTGATGAACAGTAATTTTATATTTTGATGAAGCCCCTTTTTATAGTTTGTAACTTTTTCATTCACTTTAGGAAATTTCTGTGTGCTACAAGGCCACAAAGATAGTCTCCTATCTATTTTTTTGTATTTTATAGTTTAGCTTTTATGCTTAGGTCTAGACGCCCTTCTTCCTCCATCCTTTGAAATCCTAATCTTATGCCCTTCTGTGGAATTTCTAAATCTTCTTTTGCTTTTTGCCTTGAAATGGTAAGGGTAGTCATTTTAAATTTTGCTCCTGATAATTCCACCCCAAGTGTAAGGACTGCCAGATAATTATATGCAGAAAATAGGAATAGCTGTCTCCCCAGGATGTTATTTTTTTCCTGAGAGGATTTATTTTCTTATATCAGTCACCTGTAGGCATTTGCAATATGGGATACCTTCATCTGGTATCAAAGATTGAAATTTGAAATTGGGCTGCAATTCCTGGGAAGGCCAATCTCCTCCATATTCATCATTATTTATAAGGTGAGGTTTAAAAATAATGTCTCCCCTTTCCGGCCTTGAATTTTAGCTCTCTCCCTGGTAGCTGCAAGAATTTAAGTCAAGTTTTCAAGATCACACAGACAGTGGTTTAGCTGGGAATTGATAGTCCACTTCAGATTCTGGATTATTAATAGCCTACAATGCGGCCCATACCGTGAAGGAAGGGTTTTATTTGTTATGTTTCCTATTATACACCTACACTTAATATGTCACTTAATAAATGTTCAGCATGTATTTGTGAAATATAAGAATGAATCTGTTCCCACTAGCAATGTTATTAATGGAGGTACTTTCAATCTTGCTAATTGTTGAGTGGCATTTTGGGCTTATAGCTGTGATGTCGTTTTCCATACCATTTTGTCTTTTTGCTGATGGTAATTATTTTTTTGTATTATTTTTTAAATTAGTATTTTGATAATAATTGGAAAAGGTCAGATTTACCTGGAAACTTGCATCAATAACTTACTGATCTTTGTTTTGTGCTTGAAGTTTTATATATACTAGAAACTCAGGAATACCAAGTAAGGATATAGGGATAAAAATCTCAAATATTTCAAATGCTTATTGTTTCTTTTTGTCATCCCTTAAGCTTGATTAGAAAATGAAACAATTCAAATTTAAGTAAATTACTTGTCTAAAATTTACATTTTGTTATAAACTTAATTTATTTTTGTAAAATCTTTACTCCCTCCATAGAACTGAAGAATGGATTTCTCATGGTTTTACAAATTTATGGCTCTTCTGTGGAAGAATTTTATTTTAAAAGTAAGTTGAGCTATCTATAAGATTTTTTGCAACAGCTAAGAGACCCCAGTGGAAAATGTCTTACAGCCTGATCCCTGCATTTCAATTTATATTGTTATATTCTTCTCAATTCTATGGCTGGGGTTATCTCTTCCAAATATGAAGAGTCCTTACAGAGTGAAATAATAGCAGAATGACATGTAGAAAGGAATGAAAAGATGGTCCAGGAAATTACTGCTATTATAGAGTGAAGCTGTTCTTTTTTGTTATCTATATATCTTCTCTTAAGAAGTGTTGTTAATATAAAACAATTAAGCGTTTGCAGAGTTAATGGACTCATAGGACAATTAACATAATCTTTTTGTTTCCATCTCCTAGAGACGACGATTGATGGCATTATTTACGGAATTCGTCCTAACATTACTATTTGCTGGTACACTTTTGTTAACACGCAAGCTTTTGATTATAAGGAACTATGGGCCTTTCAATTACTCTCTTCAGCCTGTTGATGAGTTGCCTGCATTCCTTGAAGTGCCCATGATTTTTCCTGGTGCATGGGAACTGGCTTTTGTGCCTTCCAAAAGTGTTGTGGTGAAGGGTATCGTTGAACTTGTGAAAAGGGATTTACAGTATAATTTCTCAGGTTAGAAATAGAAGTTTTTTTTAAAAAAAAATGTATTATTAAATTGAGTTTCAGTGAAGTCACATGTATAACCTTTTAATTGGGCATTTATCTGCCAACTAAAGATTGTAGGATATATCCTTATTACCAGATAGTAACCTCCTAGGTATACTATTATAGATTTTGTTAAACTTGAGAGTTATATTCATATAAAGTGTTTTCTCCTAGAGACTAAAACAAGTAGTAATATTTTAAAATTATATGATCAATTTATATTATTTTAGGTTATTATCCAATTCTATGATACTGTGTTCCTCGTTTCTCATTGTGCTTCTTAAACCTGGGTAAGTATAACCCCAGTGCTATATGATGGTGTGCCAGAGGAACATAGAGGCACACAGCATAAGCGTGAGCTTATGTGTATCCAAAGAGGCTTAAGTTTTCTTCTGGATAGTTGTTAGAATACTGACAGAGTGACTTGATTCCATCAAAGTCTGGTTTTGAGCCTCTTCATAAGGACTGTATTTTAGTTTTGTCTTTACTCCTGCAGCTTACCCCTTGTTCTAGGGTGTGGCTCTTCTAGTGTGTCAGCTGCAAAGCTGGAGTATTTATGAAGGCTCCACTACCTTTGTAGGGCTTGAACTCTATTCTCTGGTTCATCAATATTGTCCACCTACTGAAATCCCTGCTTAGCAGTATAGCCTGCCACCTGCTGTTATTTTCTTGGTTTCATGGCTTGAACCTAGGCATTATCAGTTAAGGAGTTGGCTGGTGACTAGGGGTTGACTTACAAGTCAATTTTCCACTTCTCTGCTGTTTTTTTCTCTCTGGAACTTTTCAAGTTCTAGCCATTTTGGCAGCCCAAACTCTCACCTTTTTTCTTCAGCTCAGTAAGTCTGCAGCTTTCTGCAAACACTTTCAGGCAAAATATCAGGGTGAATATAGCACTTACCCTGTGCTTCTCCCTTTTTCAAGGTTTGCAGCTTTGTAGTTATTCATTGTAGCATTATTTACAATTAACCAACATATAGTAGCAACCAAAGTGTCCATCAACAGATGGACACATAGAGAAAATGTGATTATTCAGTCATAAAAAAGAAGGAAATCCTGTCATTTGTAACAATACATATGTTTGGAGGACATCATGCTAAGTGAAATAAACTGGACACAGAAAGATGCTGTATAACCTCATATGTGTTATCTAAAAATGTTGAGCTCACAGAAGCAGAGAGTAGAATCATGGTTTCAGAAAAAAAAGAATCATAGTTTCATGGTTTCTGGAGCTGGGGATGGGTGGGGAAAATGGGGAGTTATTGGTCAAGTTGTATGAACTTTCAGTTATAAAGACAAATAAGTCCTGGTAATCTAATGTACATGGCGACTATAGTTAACAATACTGTATATGAAATTTATTCAGAGAACTAGATCTTGTAGTGTTCTCAAATAAAAAAGATGGTAACTATGTAAGGTGATAGATGTGTTTATTAACCTGATTTTGGTAATCATTTCATAATATATGCATGTATTAAAACATGTTGTGTACCTTAAAATCATGTTATACAACCTACATATGTATACTTTTGATTTGTGAGTGATACCTCAATAACTCTGGGCAGATAATTTTAAAAGTAAAATAAGTGGTAACTGTGTGGTCATGGATACATTAATTAGCTTGATTGTGGCAGTCATTTTATAGTGTACACATACATCAAACCATCATGTTTTGCACCTTAAATACACACATTTTTTATATGTCATGAACTTCAATAAAGCTGGGGAAAAATAAAGTCACCCCAGATAATAAATGAAAATAAATAAATAATAAACTTCCCTGCAGTTTCATTTTCAGAGAAATCTAGGCAAACACATGTTTTAGCCTCATAAAGTCCTCACAAATCTCTCCCTCCCTTTATCTCTCATACTCCTGCTTGAGTAGTAAATACCTTCCTTGAAGCTTACCACCACGGCGTGGCAATTACAAAGCGTCATGGGGATTTCCCACAACATTTAGTGGTTAAGGGAAAGAGATTGGGAGGTTTCCTGAGACATAAAGGATGCATGGGTGGCATGGATGACAGTGGTTATGCTCAGATGCGGAAGTCGGGGTTACCCGCCCCAAAGTGTGCCTGACTACCTGCTTGTACACACTTCACTTCGTTCACAGCGTACTTTCAATATTAGGTTCTATTCCCAGCTGTGTTTCTCTGTTGTTTTGTTTTGTTATGTTTAATGTAGACTTTGTTTTTCCAGCTTTAATCATTTGAATTCTCTTGAGGACTTTGTTTCTTCTTGCTTCTGCTCATTTTGTGTAGGTGCAAATCTGATTCCAGTCCCTGAAATCCTACTTACAGCTTTGTCCCTGCTGTAATATCCCAGCTGTGCCCACCCTGAGAAAAGTGCAGCATAGTTGGGATTTCCCAACTATAGAAAAAATAATGATTATGACACATAATCACTCAAATATTAAACTTGTGAAGTTGTTTCATTCTTCAACAAGATTCCTATCTTCTAGGACTTTGAATAGATTGCATGGATCAATTTTGTTATTTCCTTCCAAGGTGGAACTTTGAAAACACATTGGAAATATCCCTCTTCCTTACTTTATTTCAATATGCAGTTATTATAATAATTATATTTTAAACTTGTGATAAAAGTTTTAAAACTCTTAAACATTTTATGTACTCCTAATATCCATTTTTGTTATGCCAATGTTTGAGCAACATGTTTTATAATTTATATTTTGATAGACTTTCACCCATGTAAATCATTTCCCCATCCTATAGATAGAAAAGGCAGTCAGATACTTTGCCTTTATGTGGGCAACTCACATTCGATTTTTTCTCTCCACAGTTCAAGGTTTTTCTTCAGAAAGGAATTTTGAAGAGTATGTTAAGCAAGAGAATAACTCTAAAAAAGTGTTGGTTGGTATTATTTTTGACCACAAGTTCCAAAATAGTAATGATCCCCTGCCATTTAAGGTAAGAAGGTTTTATGTAGAACCTCGTAAGTCTACTTCCAGTTTCTGAGGCTTAATCAAGTAGAGGCATAATTATTTCATTAAGTCAGGAGACTGCAGCTTACCCAAAACCATGCTGCTTGTACATAGTAGAGCAGAAATTTTTCTTCTTAAGATTTTATTTATTCATGAGAGACACACACAGAGAGAGAGGCAGAGACACAGGCAGAGGGAGAAGCAGGCTCCATGTAGGGAGCCTGACGTGGGATTCGATCCCAGGTCTCCAGTATCACACCCTGGGCTGAAGGCGGCGCTAAACCACTGAGCTACCCAGGCTGCCTGTAGAGCAGAGATTTAAATCCAAATCTAGCTAATCTCTGTGTCTGTGCATCTATATAGCCAGAGCTTTATGTTGATGGGGAAAGAATTAAATTCACCACATACTAGGTTTAGTTCTTATAAATCAGAAGCATAGGAGACGTTGACCTTTACCACTGTATCTGATAAGGCAGCTGTCTCCAGCTTTGTGCATGATAGTGAAGTAAATGCACATTTCACAGGTCAAAAGACCTGAGGTATTAAAGCATGTAACACGACATAAAATGTTCCTCTTTCTTTTGGCTGAATCTCATCATTTTTCTCCAAAATCTAAATCTAGAAAACAGTGCTAAGGTTAGCCAAGCAGAATCAGAATTAGGATATAGGCAGACTCTGAGGAAGATTCTGATAACAACTTCCAAGAAAGTGAGACGAGCACTGTGCTTTGAACTTGGCGTCCTTGGTGTTGAGGGAAATAACCAGAATATGGTACAGATGATTGCATGAAGCGATAATTCTACATTTAAGATACAGATGGTTGTCAATGGAATGAAGAAGTAAGGAAAACCACTGTGTCATAAGTAGAGTTGTAGGTATCTTTCCATTCAGTCCCATCACTCCCTCCCTCCTTTCACATATATAAAATTCCCTCAAGTTACTGATTCAGTGTAAGTGATGCTGATGTAGGCTCATCAGTGTATATATAGAGCCTGGTCAACATGTTTTTGGTAGTTTCAAACTTCACCTATTGTGCCTTGTACAACCTCCCTACTGCCTTGCCACTTGGCTCACTCTTACCATTAATATTGTTACTGTGACTCACTGTACAGTGGCTCTCCTAACCACACCCACCCCTTTGATCCTTCATACTCCCATAAATGCCCTGTACATATTACTATCACTGAATTTGCTATGATGTAAATATATATGTTGTCTCAACTAGAATTTGAGCTCCTTGAGGAACAGGCGATGCTTCTTAATCCTTGAACATGCAATAAGTGACTAAAGCTTTTGTCTTGATAACTAAGCATATTAATATTTACCTAGTTTATGACCTCTGCCTGCCCCTCTTGATATTACCGATTTCTCTGGTCTGACCCCTGGCTCTAGGCAGCTGCTAGACCATTTGCTGTCTTGTAAAGCTACTTAGGCCCAGCATGATTTACCTTGAAGTTTACTTAGCTCTCTAGAATTAGTATTATCTTTTTATTTGGTAATGAAATTATGCAGTATTTCATATTTATACTTTATCACATTTCTCCTCTTTCCTCATGTGGGATTCTTTCTTATGTTACAATCACTTTTCGGAGAGGAAGAAATTTTCCTCTTGGAATACTTGACTGACATAATGGAAAGAGAAATTAGCAATACCTTTTGGTATGTTTCATTTCAGTATGCATGCCAGCTATCTATTTTGGGGAAAAAATATTGGCAATGGTGTGCAAGTTGCCACTGTGTTTGCTTACCGCAGACCCACAGTAGCCACACAACAAGTCTGCTCCATTGGCTGGTGTTCAGAATCTACTTAGTGTTTGACAGTCTGCCTCAGAATCACACGTGCAATTTTTCTTTAACTTCCTTTTGTTTCTCATTCTTGCTTAATTATTTTTTGCATTTACAGATTTCTTTTTGCTCTTTATAGGTAAAATATTCTCTGCGTTTTAGTGGTTTTCAGAGGAACAAGTATGTGAGTTTCTTCCGAACTGGAGGCTGGGAAACAGGTGTTCTCTTTCCAACTTTTCCTTCTTTGGGACCCAGAAGTGAACGTAATTCAAATGGGGGGCCACCTGGTGAGCAGATCTTTAGTCATTCTTATTTTAATATCCTAGTCTTATGGTAAGAGCCATCACATATTTATACCTGTATTTCTTCAACCTGGTAATGAAAATTAAAGTTAATTTTTAACTTGCTGTGCTGCTGGTGATTTCTTTATTTAAAATTTTCAGTGTTCCAAAACTTGTGTAAAATTTCTATACATTGGAACAGTGTATTTTTATCTTTTCCTGGTCAGTGTATACCTTATATTTTCATGTAGGTTCACTTGTGAAATTTTTATTTTAATGACTAACATATATATTTCCAGATACTGACAGAGTCTGATCCATTATAACTGTATACTATGCTTTTGGGTTGATGAATAGCTTTTAATATAGCTATGGCAATTTAAAATTTATTATGCAGACTATCATTAAAACATTTTTAAAAGGAAGCTTTGCTTTCATTAACAATAATGCCCATTTACCTTGAGAAAATCACTCAATAAGAAAAACAAGCTATAACCAATTTATCATAAATCATAGAAATTTGAAATAACCTACAACTTAAATATGCTAAAAGAATAACAAAAGTATAAAATTTAATTTGACAGAGCTATGACAACATTTACTCTGTTAGGTGTTGAAATTGTTTTATATAGAATTTAAAAAGGAATCTTAAGTCTTTTCCCATGTATATAATACATTATGAAATTTGCCTGGATTATTACTTTATAAGGGTTAGACTGGTGAAAAACTTAGAAAGTTGGATAATGCTAAGAGCTGCCAGGGATATATAAATGCACTGCAAGAGGGAGGCTGAATAAGCTGATATAGCCATTCTGGGTGGGGGGCAGTCTGTCAGTGGCAGCTTTATTAGTTTGTTTGGGTGGCTATAACAAAATACATACCACACACTGGGTAGCTTATAAGCAACAGAAATTTATTTCTCACTTCTGGAGACTGTGAAGTCCAAGATCAAGGCACCAGCATGGTTATTCTCTGGTAAGGGCCCTCTTCCTGGTTCCTAGCCTGTGCTTTCAAACTATGTCCTCATTTGGTGACGCTAGAGAGGTCTCTGGAGCCTCTTTTGTAAGGTCCTAATTCCGTTTATGAGAGCTGCACTATCATGATTTTAGCACCACTCACAGGCCCCCATTACCTTTTAGGGGTTAGGATTTCAACATGTGGATTTTGGGGAACATGGACATTCAGACCATAGTTGTAGCCAAATTAACAATATGTTCTTGGGTAGAAACCCCAAACTTTTTTGTGGATCCATAAGAAAGCTCCTGGCAATGGTGGTTGTGGTGGCAAGGAGTAGGAGGCAGCATCAGAGCAGTGGATTAAGAAGACTGGACTAGATGTAGCAGCATCTTGCAGGGAACTAAGCTAATAGTTTATTATATAATTTCATTAACATAAAGTATATGCAAATGAAAAACCAGTGGGAAATTTAGAAGAAAATACAGAAACACACAAATACTCATCAAACATATTAGAAATGTTGCCAATGGGTAGGAAAGAGGGACAAGGAAAATAGGAATATAAGAAAATAAATAAAGTAGATTAAGGGTCATGAACCATTTGTTGGGTCATGAATTGAGGAGTTGATTAATTCAGCCCTCTGTACTTGAAGCTGATAATGCATGTGTGTGTATACAAGCACACTTAAATATTTATATAGCATGAAATAAAAATTAAAAATGTTAATAGACTAGTTGATTAAAGGATCTAATCCCTATTTTTGTTGAATTACTTGCTTGTCTCTATAAACTCTTTTCCTTAATATAACCTTAATTTCTTAATTTATACAGTAGTTCTAAACAGGAAAACAATTTTTATTTATATAATAGATATTTTTACTGCATGTTCTTCCCCACCCTGGCATAGCAACAGCTAAAATTTTTGAGTCCTTAACTCTTATTCCAAAGTACTGTGAGACAGGTTTGATTACATCAATTCCACAGGTAAAGTACCTGGGGCTCGCACAGAGATTGTGTAAAGTGTGCTAAGGGCTAAATAACCCATAAGTATTGCAGTTGTAAATTAAATGCAGTATGTATGAAATCAACACTGAACTTGGTGTGTTATGCCAAGAACAATTAAAAATACATTTAATTTATGTATACATGATTCTCTGTGCCCTCACTAAAAACATTCATGCTCTTCTACAGTCAGTAAGGGACTTTGAGAAATAAATAAATCCTCTTGAATTAAAGTCTTATCAATACTTCTCTCTGAAGGAATATTGGGGCAGACTATAGGCTTCCATGGATAGCTGTATGGGGAGCCTGTGCTTGGAAGTTGGCCTTGTCCCAATGAAAATAAGTGTTCTTTAAGGTAGTGCTCCTCTGGTGAAGGTCCTGGGTATTTGTTTGTTTGTTTGTTTTGCTTTGTTTTTTTAATTTTCAAGTCATTGTAAACTAGTACTTTTATAAAACATTGAGAATGAAAAACAATAAAATACAAATTATATATCATGGTGGCATTTTAGAATTTTGAATGCAAGGAAGCTTTGATGAACTGAATTCCAGAGAGGAACAGGCCCTTTTTAGGTAAAGAGCTTCTGTGGCTCTGTACCTGGGAGCAAGTACCTAACCTGGGCATGAATTGGGCTGAACATAGATATACTTTGTAGAGATCAGGAAGAAGCAGCTGTGCATTTCCCAGTGGTGTGTGCTAGCAGAGTGAGTGTTTCAGCTGCCCCCTAACTTTGGGATGTTTATTCAGCTGCCAGCAGTGGAGGTAAACTAGGAAGCAGAATTTGTGCAATTCGACAGCATTTGTATTGTAGAAACCAGATGAAACTGAATCCCAAAGTAAACCAGAGCTCTGTTAGTGAAACTATAGCCCAAGCTTGTCCTACATGAGACCCTAACAAAGTACACATGTCCATCATCCATGGCACAGTAGAAAGGAGAATTGGTCAGAAAGGTAAAAGGTACCATTTGAAAACAGAAGTGAACTGAATTTTAAGTTGAGGCCCAAGTTCGACTCAACTAAACTCTTGGAATTTAAATGATCAGCTCCTCCCTTTGGCTCTATGACAAAGGAAGGAGCTAGCGTCTTTAAGAAAATAGAACAAACATTATACAGTTAAGTGTCCACTGTTCCTTTCATAACAATTTCTGGCACAAGATCCAAAATTATAGGATATGCAAAGGAATAGGAAAATAGGAATAAAATTAAAAGAAAAAAGTCAATATAAATAAATGGACAGATAAGCCAGATACTGAAATTAGCAGTCAAGGAATTTAAAACAATTTTATGAGTATTTTCATGTAATGACATCAAAATGATATAATGTGGTATAATGTGATAAAGAGGGCATTTTGGCTCTGTGGTATCCTTCTCCAAAACTTTTAACTCTAGTCTATTAGTGGAAAAACATTGTACAAACCTAAGCTGTAGGACATTCTCCAAAGTACATGCCTAAGATTCTCAAAAACTCATGACAAGGTCATGAAAATCAAGAAAGGATGAGAAAGTTTCATAGGTCAGAGGAGACTATGGAGACATGACAACTAAATGCAATGTAGAATCCTGGATGGGAACAGAAAGAAAAAAATGGCACTAGGGAAAAACTGGTGAAATCCAAACAAAGTTTCTATAAATTAAAAATTGTACCAATTCAATTTCTTAGTTTTCACAAATGTACCATGGTAATATAAAATGTAATATTTGGGAAGCTGGGTGCAGGATATTAACAATATTTCTCAATCTTTTTTTCATTATTGCCCTTCTAGGGAATCATTTTAGACATTTTTTCCCTAAGTACATTCCCTTCATTAAAGTTTATTGCCACAGACATACTACAGATCTGTTTTATGTGCTATGGCCTGCTTGAAGCTATAGCTGTTGAGAATGCATGGTATATAGGACTCTGTATTATTTTTGCAACTTTTCTGTAAGACTACATTTTTTTTCCAAAATAAAAAATATATTTAAAAAACTCTCCAAGCCAAAGTAGCAATAAAAGTGAAGTTTCTGAATCTGATAAAGTACATGTGTTAGAAATTTGTATCTTCCTGGTGAAATATTGAACATTTCCCCTAATAATCAAGAATGAAGTAAACATGTTTGCTGTCATCAATTCTTTTCAGCATATTACTAGAAGTCCTAACATATCAGAAAAAAGAAATGAAATAAAAGGTATAGATTTTGGAAAGGAAGGAGTGAAAGTATATGAAGTTGAAAGAATCATGTTAAGCAGGTGATTCTGAAGATGTCCACAAAAAAGTACTACATATAATATGTAAATTTATCAAATACCCAAGATAGAAAGACAGTATACAAAAATAAATTATAAATCTACACCAAAAACAACAAAACGTTTCTGAGAGAAAAATTTAAAAGACCTTAACAAATGATGAAACATCTAAATCTCATTGGTTGGATGATTCAAAATTGTTAGAAGGCAGCTTCTCCCTAGTTTGATCTATGTTAGCAATATAGTGATAGAATCCTAGCAGTCTTTAAAAAAAAAAAAGGCAAGCTCATTATAAAATTTATATGGAAATACAAAGGGTCTAGATTAGTAAAAAAAATCTTGGAAAGGAATGCCAATGTTAAAGAACATTCAAGACTTATTATAAATCTACATAATTAAGACATTGCTATATTAGGTGTAAGGATGAACAAATACATCAATAAAAAGAATGGAGTGTCTGGAAAGAGACTCATGTACATACAGTCATTTGATTTTTCCATGAAGGCTCCAATATGATTCACTGGGGAAAGGAAATCTATTTGAACAAATTGTGATGGAATAACATGGTATTTAGTTGGAAAGAGTGAATCTTGATCACCAACTCATATCTATACAAAATTAGTTAATTAACAAAGTTAATTAACAAAATGATCATAAACCTAAATGTAAAAAATGCTCCCACAACAAAATTTATGAGAATATCTTCATGAATTTGGGGCCAGTAGTGATTCATTAAGACAGAAAAAGTATTGCTATAAAAGGAAGAAACCGACAAATTGAACTTCATTAAAAGTAAATATTTCTTTTTAAAAAAAAGATTTTATTTATTCATGAGACAGAGAGGGAGAGAGAGGGGGTTGAAGTCACAGGCAGAGGGAGATGCAGGCTCCTGATGTGGGACTCGATCCTGTGACTCCAGGATCACACCCTGGGCCAAAGGCAGGCGCTAAGCCCCTGAGCCACCCAGGGATCCCAAAAGTAAATATTTCTGCTTATGTGAAAGACCCTATTGAACCGTAAGCCAAGATCCAGAGGGGAGAAAATGTAATACAGATTCCATTCAAAATCAATAAAGAACTTATATAGATGAGCAGAAAATGGTTTTTAAATGACATGGCAATGCCAGACTTTGATAAAAGTTTTTAGGTGTTTGCTCATTTTTATACTAAACGTATGTAACAGAAACTATTTACATAATGCCACAGATCCAAGGACCACACTGAGCAGTTCTGCTTTAGTGGACATCAGCTCATATAACTCGGTATGAACTTCACTTAAGTTTTCAAATGTCAAAGGTACCAAATTAAAGTCTTTACCTATGCAATAGTTTATTCAATTGCAGAAAGCACCTCTGTAATTTCATACAATATTTTACTTTCTAAGAAGCTGGGAATTAGGATCCTTTTAAAAAGAATCTAAAAAAAACACAAATGAATAAATAAAAAGCAGAATCAGACCTATAAATACAGAGAAAAACTGATGATTGCCAGAGAGGAGGAGGGGATGGGCAGAGTGGGTGAAGGGGAATGGGAGATACAGGCTTCCAGTTAAGGAATAAATATGTCATGGGAATAAAAGGCACAGCATAAGGAATATAGTTAATTGTATTGTAATAGCATTGTATGGTGACAAATGGTATCTACACTTGTGGTAAGCATGGCATAAGGTGTAAACATGTTGAATCACTACATTGTACACCTGAAACTAATGTGACATTGTGTGTCAACTATACTCAGGTAAAAAAAATTTTTAATAATAAAAAAGTATTTATTATGTATTTGCATTGGGAAACATAACAGCTGCTCTGTGAAATTTAGCTTATAACAAGGGCCTCTTTACAAGAATGAACTTTGTTGTTTGTTTTTGATATACTTTAGTTACCTTTCTCTTTGTTCAGTTCAGCTATTTCTTGTTCTGTTGTACTTAGCAATCCTTGTTTTCTCGTTTAGGGTATATCACTGAAGGGTTCCTGGTTATGCAGCATGCCTTGGATCGGGCCATCATGAAATACTATAACCACACGGCTACACGAAAGCTATTTCAAGACGTCACTGTCTTTGTTCAGAGATTTCCATATCCAGCATATTCTCATGATTACTTCTTTACCTTTTTTGGTATTTTCATCCCTTTAGTAATCTTATTTATCTTCTCTATGAATCATCTTACCCTCACTCAGGCTATTGTGTGGGAAAAGGAAAACAGATTGAAGGTAATTCTACTTTTCTTGTGGTAAATAGAACTTCTGTAGAAAAAGTTGGGTCTGTAGCATAAATTTTTGTGGAGGCTCAGATTATTTTTACACTCTCAGTGCTGGTAGATGGTTATGTTTCAGTAGCAGTCAGAAAGTAAGCACATTTCTTTTGGGAATTTTCTCAAATTTTGTTTTTATTGAAATTCTTCAGTTTTATCTCTAGAAGATTACTTTACAAGATTATTACAAATAGAATTTAAATGCCAAATGCTCTAAAATCTCTCTGAAATAGGTGAGTTGCAAAAAAGTAATCCACTGGGCTTGTGGAATTGTCTTGATGAATTTAGATACAAGTAAATTTCAAGATTGAGCACTGGGTGTTATTCTGTATGTTGGTAAATTGAACACCAATAAAAAATAAATTTATTATAAAAATAAAAAATAAAAAAATAAAAAAAAAGATTCTGTAATTCTGTGATTAGTTTTTCTAATTTCTGATTTTTTTTTTCTCTAAATGTCCTCTTATAGTCCCCTTCAGAATTTCCGTGTCTGGGTAGAGACCAAGTTGTTTTATGGCCAGACGCTTTGCAGTTCAAAATATACTCAGTTAACCAATTATTAATGTTATATATATGTTAAATATATATTACATATTTATAATTAATATATAATATACGTTAAATATATAGAGAGGGAGAGATGATTTATATACTTATATATAATTGATTTATTGCTTAATTTGTTTCAGGAACTTTATAAATCATAGATTTGAATTCTACGTCTATTATTTGTTGACTTTGAAATGTCATATAACTTTTCTAGCTTTTTTTGTCAGATATAAGTTGAGTACAATTACTAATTTGCAAGGTGGTCATGATATTAAGCTAGGTATTATGTAAAAAATCATCACTATCAAAGCACCTAGGCCTGAGATTGTGAAGTGTCAAGGAGGAAACACATGTTGAATGTTTGGTACATGTCCAGGCACCTAGTAATCCCTCAATAGCTATTAGATGTGACTGTTAACATCAGCCATCTCTCCAATTCACTAGTTTCCTTGTGTAATCGTGAACCATGTCATTTTCTCTCTTCCCTTAGTGACCACACCACTTCACAGATCAGTCCTATGTTGTTTCTTACCATCCACCTCTTCTCACTCAGTGCTCTTGTCACAAGTCTCCCCACCCCTCAGCTGTCCTCTGAATTAACCTTGTACATTGTTGCTAGAGTAATTGTCCTGTAACAGAAATGACTATAAATAAATTTTAAGGATGAATGTATCTTAGCTCTCTGCTGAATAAAATCCACTTAAGCATATACATTTTCTTATATTTGGCCCCTACCTACTCTTCATGTTGTTATCATTGTTGTTTATAGAGATAATTTAAATGCCAGTTGCCCTCAAACATCTCTGGAATAAAGAGAGCTACAAAGAAATAATCTTGTGGAATTATGTCTAGATGAATTTGGATACAAATCAATTCCAAGATTTTGTGATTCCGTGATTTAAGAAGTTTTTTATGGCAGTATTGTTTTTGGGGGTATATTTTTTATTGGAGTTTGATTTCCAACATATAGTGTAACTCCCAATGCTCATCCCGTTAAGTGGTCCCCTCAGTGCCCGTCACCCAGTCACCCCATCCCCCTGCCCAACTCACCTTCCTCTATCCCTTGTTCGTTCTGACTTAAGGAGTCTCTCATGTTCTGTCACCCTCTCTGATATTTCCCACTCATTTTCTCTCCTTTCCCCTATAATCCCTTTCACTATTTTTTATAGTCCCCATATGAATGAAACCATATAATGGTTTTCCGTCTCTGATTGACTTACTTACTCAGCATAATACCCTCCAGTTCCATCCACATCAAAGCAAATGGTGGGTATTCATCATTTCTAATGAGGGAGTAATATTCATTGTATACATATACCACATCTCCTTTACCCATTCATCTATTGATGGACACCGAGGCTTCTTCCACAGTTTGGCTATTGTGAACATTGCTGCTATAAACATTGGGGTGTGGGTGTCCTGCCGTTTCACTGCATCTGTATCTTTGGGGTAAATCCCCAGCAGTGCAATTGCTGGGTTGTAAGGTAGCTCTATTTTTAACTCTTTGATGAACCTCCACAGAGTTTTCCAGAGTGGCTGTACCAGTTCACATTCCCACCAACAGTGCAGGAGGGTTCCCCTTTCTCCACATCCTCTCCAACATTTGTTGTTTCCACTCTTGTTAATTTTCACCATTCTCACTGGTGTGAGGTGGTATCTCATTGAGGTTTTGATTTATATTTCCCTGATGGCAAGTGATGAGAGCATCTTATCATGTGCTTGTTGGCCATGTGTAGGTCTTCTTTGGTGAAATGTCTGTTCATGTCTTTCACCTATGTCATGATTGGATTGTTTGTCTCTTTGATGTTGAGTTTGATAAGTTCTTTATACATCTTGGATATTAGCCCTTTTTCTAATGTCATTTGCAAATATCTTCTCCCATTCTGTAGGTTGTCTTTTAGTTTTCTTGACTGTTTCTTTTGCTGCGCAGAAGCTTTTTACCTTGATTAAGTCCCAATAATTCATTTTTGCTTTTGTTTCCCTTGCTTTCATATATGTATCTTGCAAGAAATTAATGTGGCTAAGTTCAAAAAGGGTGTTGCCTATGTTCTCCTTTAGGATTTTGATGGAATATTGTCTCACATTTAGATCTTTCAACCATTTTGAGTTTATCTTTGTGGGTGTAAGAGAATGATCCAGTTTCATTCTTCTGCATGTGGCTGTCCAATTTTCCCAGCACCATTTATTGAAGAGATTGTCCTTTTTCCAGTGGATAGACTTTCCTGCTTTGTCAAATATTAGTTGACTATAGAGTTGAGGGTCCATTTCTGGATTCTCTATTCTGTTCCATTGGTCTGTGTGTCTGTATTTGTGCCAGTACCACACTGTCTTGATGATCACAGCTCTGTAGTACAACTTGAAACCCGGCATTGTGATGCCCCAGCTATGGTTTTCTTTTTCAATATTCTCCTGGCTATTCTGATTCCACACTAATCTTTTTTTTTAATTTTTTAAATTTTTATTTATTTATGATAGTCACAGAGAGAGAGAGGGAGAGAGGCAGAGACATAGGCAGAGGGAGAAGCTGGCTCCATGCACCGGGAGCCCGACGTGGGATTCGATCCTGGGTCTCCAGGATCACGCCTTGGGCCAAAGGCAGGCGCTAAACCGCTGCGCCACCCAGGGATCCCTGATTCCACACTAATCTTAAGATTATCTGTTCCAACTCTCTGAAGAAGGTCCATGGTATTTTGATAAGGATTGCATTGAACGTGTAAATTGCCCTGGGTAGCACAGACATTTTCACAATACTAATTCTTCCAATCCATGAGCATGGACTATTTTCCCATATCTTTATGTCTTCCTCAGTTTCTTTCAGAAGTGTTCTGTAGTTTTTAGGGTATAGATCCTTTACCTCTTTGGTTAGGTTTATTCCTAGGTATCTTATGCTTTTGGGTGAAATTGTAAATGGGGTTGACTCCTTAACTTCTCTTTCTCCAGTCTCATTGTTAGTGTATAGAAATGCCACTGATTTCTGGGCATTGATTTTGTATCCTGCCACATTGCTGAATTGCTGTATGAGTTCTAGCAATCTTGGGGTGGAGTCTTTTGGGTTTTCTATGTACAGTATCATGTCATCTGTAAAGAGGGAGAGTTTGACTTCTTCTTTGCCAATTTGAATGCCTTTATTTCTTTTTGTTGCCTGATTGCTGAGGCTAGGACTTCTAGTACTATGTTGAATAGCGGTGGTGAGAGTGGACATCCCTGTCATGTTCCTGATCTTAGGGGAAAGGCTCCCAGTGTTTCCCCATTGAGAATGAAATTTACTGTGGGCTTTTTGTAGATGGTTCTTAAGATGCTGAGGAATGTTCCCTCTATCCCTACACTCTGAAGAGTTTTGATCAGGAATAGATGCTATATTTTGTCAATTACTTTCTCTGCATCTATTGAGAGGATCATATAGTTCTTGTTTTTTCTCTTGTTGATGTATCTATCACTTTGTTTTAGGAGTGTTTAACCACTCTTGGATTCTGGGGATAAATCCCAGTTGATCATGGTGAATAGTCTTCTTAATGTACTGTTGGATCCTGTTGCCTAGTCTCTTGTTGAGAATTTTGCATCTGTGTTCATCAGGGATATTGGTATTTAATTCTCCTTTTTGGTGGGGTCTTTGTCTCATAAAATGAGTTTGGAAGTATTCCATCCCCTTCTATCCTTTGGAACATCTTTAGTAGAATAGGTATTGTTTCTTCTTTAAACATTTGATAGAATTCCCCTGGGAAGCCATCTGGTCCTGGACTTTTGTGTCTTGGGAGGTTTTTGATGACTGCTTCAATTTCCTCCCTGGTTATTAGCCCATTGAGGTTTTTTATTTCTTCCTGTTCCACTTTTGGTAGCTTGCGGTTTTCCAAAAATGTGTCCATTTCTTCTAGATTCCCTAAGTTATTGCTGTATATCTGCTCATAATATATATTTTTTAATTGTTTGTATTTCCTTGGTATTGGTTGTAATATTACCTCTTTCATTCATGATTTTATTAATTCGAGTGTTTTTTGTTTTTAAAAAGACTGGCTAATGGTTTATCTATCAATTCTTTCAAAGAACCAACTCTCAGTTTTGATGATCTGTTCTACAGTTCTTCTGGTCTCCATTTCATTGAGTTCTGCTCGAATCTTTATTAACTCTCTTCTTCTGCTTGGTGTAGGTTTTACTTGCTGTTCTTTCTCCAGTTCCTTTAGGTGTGAGGTTAGCTTGTGTATTTGAGTTTTTTTCCAATTTTTTGAGGGATGCTTGTATTGTGATGTATTTCCTTCTTAGGACTGTGTTTGCTGTATCCCAAAGATTTTGAATGGTTGTATCTTCATTCTCATTAGTTTTCATGAATCTTTTTAGTTCTTCTCTAATTCCCTGGCTGACCCATTCATCTTTTAGTAGGATGCTCTTTAACCTCCACCTGTTTGAGTTTCTTCC